AATTTTTATTTAAATAAAAAAGAAAGCTCGAATCCCAAGCCAATATGTGTATCAAATCCTTGACCAGCCAGGTCTGTAGGGCATAATCAAATTCAATGTGAAATAGTATATAAACGCGGTGCCTTGACTGGGCAAATTAAATAATTGCTACTCAAAAGAGTCTTCTGTTTGGACTCTCCTACTGGTAGGCAATAGTGGGACTGTATCCCCTCCCACCCCCCATTTTGTTTTATTTAACAGTATGATGAATGCAAAGCTTAGCCGAAGGTTGCTATGACCTCAGCAGGAGATAAAGTTAAGGAAAAAACTAAAAACCAAGAAAATTTATTAACTCTTGCTTTACCCAACCAAAGCAATGCAGTAATTTATTACATAACCAGTGCTTTCTCATTTAGTAGTCTAACCCAGAAAGAAAAATCAAGAACAGGCCAAAGAAGGTGCAGCGGGAGCAGCACTTTAAAATTGTTCTCCACAGAGTTCTTAATATACAGGGCCTCATCCCGGTGCATGTCAAAAGAACCAAAAAATGTGCAGCAAGAACGAAATCTCTTTCATTTCTTTAACTTTTAAAGAAAACATCTGTAAAAGCTTATGGTTTCTCCAACTTATGCTTACAAAGCTTCTACTTGGAGAAGCAGCATGCTAGATCTATCAAGCAAAAGTTCCTTTTCAGCACTTCTGGCTACTTCTGACAGGATCTGTGCAGTACCTTAAGTGGTCATTTTGATTCAACCTTTCCCCTCTGAGAGGGGAATCTAAGAAAGATTCACTGCAGTAGTGGCAGGCAAGCTGCAGATTGATTCTGAGGTGTCGAATTCCAATACACACAGACCTTGAATAATGCCAACTTGAAAAAAGAAATAAAATTTCCCCTGTATTTTTTAAATATTGCCATCATTGATGTGCCCAAATCAAATATATCGGTCTCCTTCAGTAAAAGGCCCTCACAATAGCATTACAATTAAATAACTGATGTACCACTGAACAAAGAAAAAACAAATCAAGATACAGAGCAAATTATTAAGTTTTTAATAACAATAAAATAGCAATGAAGAAAAAACAAAGGCAAGAGTTGCTGAGAAGGAGGCAAACATGAAAAGACCTGTTTCAATGGGCAGAGAGGTCAGTAAGTCTCTCTGCATCAACTTAACTGTGTGGACTTTGGGTAAGTTTGTTTTGAAGGCATAGTGAAAAGGGTAAAAAAAACCAACCCAACAAACACTGGATGAACTAACATGCTTCACCAGCTCATTGGCAGTTAATATCCTTCCAGCAACTGCATAACCTTATGTTCTCTCTACTTCCTATTTCTATAGATTCTGCCTTGGTCATGGCTGCAGAACCTTCACTAAGTTAGTTAAGCCTCTCTCCCACAAGCCTCAGATAACCAGCTTCAGAAACACCCATGCCATAGTACACTGGTCTGCATTCTGCTGACCTCTTTAGTCCCAACAGAAAATAAAAGGCCAACAACCTTCAAATAAAATAACGTATGTTGGACACTTATTTTGTTATCTTCTTTAATCACACACGTTGTGCTGGGACATACAAAAAGTACTGCACTCATTACATTGCAAAGATTCTGTCACTTGTAGTTTAAACTTAAATAATTTAAGCAAGCAGTCTTGCACAAGCTAGGGCTCATTTCCTAGCCACAATGGGAGAAATTGTTTCAAGAATGAAGTTTGCTGCACATCTTTTGACACTAATTCACAGCTACTCTCCAACCTTCATTCCTTTTTTTACCCTTAAACCATACAAGGAAGTGGCCAGGTTGTTCTAGTCATTGAGAAATTAAGGTGATAAGGAATTATGCACTGGGTATGTAATAATACCAAAATAAAAGAAAAAACCTACTTCATTAAGATCATACAATTAATCAAACAGAGTATATATATAATATCTTTTTTTTTAAGCCCTGGGATCCAAGGCGTCCAAAGTTATTAAAATAAAGTTCATTCACAGAACAAAAACAAATTTAATTTGAATTGCTTGCAGATACTGCTAATTTTCATTTTTTTTAATTAAAAAATGCGTTAATGTGAACTATGTGCAGGATTTGTTTCTAGTAGTTGTGTTTGTGCACATTGCCTCTGGACCTGCTGCTCTGCTACTGCTGTTGCTCCTGGGTTTCTCCAATCACTCCTGGAAAAAAACATGACGGAAGCTACCAACACCCCAGCAAAAGAAACTCTGGGGTATGCTGGCCTCACTTCATGGAGCAGATGTGGGTGTAACTCCCGGTCTCTGGGAGTCGTGGTTGTCTCCTCCTCCCTCTGGATCCTCTGACAGGCTGAGAGATGCCGTCTTGTTTGACAAAAGGCCAATATTCTCTTGTGTCAAGGCTGATCCATTTGGAACATCACTGCTGAAAGAAAGTTGTGAGGAGAAAGAGGGAGTGGGTGAAGAGAAGTAATTACTGAGATTTTTCATTTATTTTAAGTACAAGGACTTCAATATTTGTTGCTGCAGCATCTCAATGACCAGTTGCGAACATATGTAAACATGTAAAGACTTGTCTTGTACAATAAATGTTTGTCTGGTATGCTGCAGGCACTTATCAGAAAAAGAATGTAAGGCTAATTGAAAACAAGCAACACTACATATTTTTAGGGTTCTAGATTAGTTACTTGTTGCTAAATATTTCAGTATATGCTACAAGATGTACAGTATCAATCTGTACAACACACACATTCTAGAATATTTAACTTATCTGGATCATTTGTCTTTATATTTTTTTATTTAAAAAAGAAATAGTTGTTTCAATTTAATTTCTTCCAGAATTTCATATGGAAAAATTAGTTTCCGCTCTGGAGGCCTCAGTCTAATGGTGCAGAGCAGAACTCAAGGATTGGTTATAGGAAGAAAGTGCAGACTTCGTAAGCAATTGAGAGGGGCATGTTTTCTGAATAAATATTCAGATTCCAAACCACTCACAGGAAGTCAGGTAAACTTATTGAAACATCTGAGCTTTTCTGTTCAAAGTATTAGTTTGAATGCATGCAGATACTTGCAGCCATCTGAAAATGCTTGCTGTGTACGTTTCCAGCATTCCCAGCCAAGACCTTGACTATCAAGTGTGAGTTCAAATCAATCCCAGCATCTACACAGATAAAAATTACTGCCTACAAATAGAAGTGAACTTTGTTTCAAAGCTACATACCTTCCTAGACAACACCCACATCACAAACCTTAGTGGGATGGAATAACTTTCCTCTCACATTTGGAACATTTCTTTGAAACTAAAACAGCAGATAAAGATTTCTTTTATGGTTGTTGTTTATCTTCTGCTCCTCCCTACTAATCATCCAATACTTAGATGTGCTTCTGGTCTTACAAACATTGCAATTCTTCTGTTGTGTTAATTGATACACAGTCTCATGCCACTTACTATCAGCTGAAATGGTCCTTAATTAATGCTTGCACTATAAAAACTTGAGTAATCTTTTCATAGTACATGCTTCCGCATCAGAGACCATGTGAGGCAAGTGGTATTATTCATATACCAGAGCAACCCTGATTAAGTCATTCTCCTGTTATACAAAGAAAGGTTGAAGACTCACGTTACCTGAATGTCAGTGTGAGGTCCTCAGCTGGAACCTTGCTTTGTGGTTCTAACTGGCCATTTTCTGTCTGTTTAGTGGTGCCCAGTTTGTTTTTTAAATCCAGTGAAGACTGACTCTCCTTTAAAAAAAGGACATAAGAAAAATTGTTTAACATTCTGTTAGAAGAATTTGAGACTTCATCCTTCAGGATCGATGATGAAGGCCTGTAAATTGGAGCCATACAGTGTAACCCACAAAAGCCATGAGACAAGAAAACAGACTCAGTAGGATATGCTCATCCTCTCAGGACACAGTATTTCCCAAAAGGAAGGGATAATTCTTGTAACAACGAGCAAAGACCATAGACTGTAACAGCACACAGACTTCTGAACGCTAGCCTGTACCTGCAGATGATGTTTTCTATGTTAAAGCAATTTCTGCAACTCATGGCACAGTGACATTGGAGATGATTCATAGTGTCCTACAAACTCAGTGCCACACATCTTTTCAAATGGCAACAAAATAACCGTACGTAGAGTATTTTAAAGGGGCTAGAATTCAAATTCTTCAAAAAAATTCTCAGGAAGGAAAAAAAACACAAAAAAACCCAGGTGAAGAGGGAGCGGGATGACTCCAGCTGTGGTCATTCAGCAGAGAGCCTTTTTGCCAGGGTGAAAGGGCTGGGGCTAGCTACATGGCTCTCCACCTCTCTGCCTCCCACCCCCACAGCACTCACCATGCTCAGCTCACGGGTTCTCTTCCCAATTTCCCTTTCCACCTGGTGAAGTTCCAAACTCAGCTGTTCACTTGAGATCATCCCAGGCCACTTGGGAGGTGGGGGTGGGGGCTGTGGTTGGCCTGCCAGGGTAGTCGCCTCCCTCTGCAACAGCAGCCTGTTACTAACAGCCTAAATGCATAAAGCCAAGCACATACACAACTGAGCACACAACACACCAAGCACAGAAAGAGCTCTAAGCCATAACTCAAGAGTATCGCTTATTTGCAAAATCAAGGCCCTTTCTCTCCATGTTTAGCAAGGTCCCAATCGAAATCACTTCCAATGCAAGTTTAAACATTTTACACGCAGACAAGTCTCTTCATGTTTAAGCAAGCGGTGTTAAATGCCTTTTACTGTAGTAAATTTGCATGGGTTCTCCCCATGTTCCTCTCCTTTCTCAAAACTAAGATTAAGCATGTGAACAAAAACACTACTCTTTTGTGAACTATTTGTTGAACAAAAGATAACAGCAGATAAGCAGAACTGTGGCTTTATTTAACAGTAGGAGAATTTATCAAATTCTACAGTAGAGCCAGTATTATTACTAAACCATATAAAATACCTTAAGACATGTGGATGGCAATAGGCAGCTCTCTACTGACCCAGATCAGCAAGCATATGAATAGAGGGGGGCAAGTGACTACGGTCATTCACAAGCTGCAAGTTACTACCGGCCAAGTAAAAGCAGTAACCATGCCAGCCACTCCAAAACACTCCCTAAGTGTGTGCTCTGCATTTAAACACCCTACCTACTACTCCACACAGCTGAACGTCTGGCTGGTCTGCAAGTAGAAATGCTCATTCATTTGAAAAGTAAGCAAAATAATCTAGTTCTTCACACTCAGACTGAATTAAGCAATTGTTACAATTTTGTAACAGGTAAATCAATAAAGCCTCCTGGATTTCAAATATCTGCTTGCTGCTTTGAACACAAGAGATAAATTGAAAGCTGTTATTACTCAAAATAACTGATTAGTTCCGACAAATTCAAATTATGGTAAAATCAAGGCTCAAAACTCAACTACATAGGATTTAATACCGACACAATCACAACAATAATGAGCAGGAGAGGCAGGCCACTTGCAGGTTTTGCAACTTTCCAATACTCTTCTATTATGGCAAAGGCAGACATGCAAGATTTAAAACATTTTCTCGTCCTGTTCCCAAACAGAAGCACCAGAACACACGTTAGGTTTCAAATAACTGAGAAATGCATGCTACTTGTAACCACTGCTGTGACTTAAAGAAGTGTGAGCTCTTACAACTAATCTGCAAGAACCCTCTTCTATAACTTTTGTTCTTAGGTAACCATAGCTTCAGCAGAAGCTGCTATGCACCACTTATTCCTTTTGGGAAAACATTAATATGAATAGTTGCTGAGGTACCTAAAATAGTTTTCTGGTAAATATTTACTGATTCTTCCTAGGAGAAAAAAAAGTAACTGAAGCTTTGCTAAAACAATTCTTTCATCATGCCTTAACATTCCTCCTCTTGTGTCTCACAAAATATAAACAAAGATTTCAGCTCATTAATTCTTTTACAAATGCAGACTTCCATCTTTCCTCATGTTGCAAGTGACTACATTTCTTATAAAAGAGGAGACACAATCTTAAGCTTGAATTTTTCAGCTAAATATCTTCAATTTTTTTTTTCTTGACTCTTGTGACTTATGCTATTTAGGAAGAAACAGGTACAACACAAAGCCAAACAGGAAACAGATGAAGGTCATAACTTTCTGTACATGACATCGGACATTTTCAGTTGCAGTAAAGCAAAGAGGAACAGGTATCTACACCACAAGTTTGCCTCCTAGCTAACAGATGAACAGAGAGGGGGAGTAAGAGAGAGAGAATGAAAGCAAACATGAATGAGCACAGAGTGCAAATTCAAGTACGGTGTCAAGAAATGCAGGGAAGTTTCTGCTGCTAAACAGAGAGATTTACACTTGTACCATAGTCCTGATGCCTGGCATCACAGAATTAAGTAGGATAGTGAGTATCATGACAGTCAGAGAAACATCATCAACAGATGAAAAGCAGCTTTAATAGCTTCATCTCTCTCCAAACTACCCCTCACCACTCTTACAAACGTTGGTACCAACCTCTAGTCCTCGCATTTGTGTCTGCTGGCTAATCTGATGGTCTACTTGTTGCAGCTCCATGCGCAGCTGCTGCTCTCGTTCTGCTGAGGGCAACTGTTTCCCATGACCAGCCACATCTGACATAGACAGTCTCTCCCTTTGGGATCAGAAAAGCAAAAATCAGATTTCCAAGAAAATCTTTACTTAGCTGGCACAGAAAGAAATAAAGAAAACTTTAAAAAAAGCCAAGAAAAAATAAAGCAATCCTACCTGTCATTGAAACGTCCCTGAGAAGATATATTTTGATGAGGAGAATATGGAGAGCCCCCCCAGCCACCGTGAGCTCCATAAGGACTGTAGTCTGCCAGTGAACAGAAAGAAAACCATGTTGCATTACTATAAAACTATTCTTTAAGTAGTTCAGCTAAGACACAGAACTGGAAATAAATTAGAGAATAACCAGGAAGCCCAGCCCTCTAAGAGTGAGGAAGTTTAATGTTTCTTCTGCTGAAATGAACACAAAAATATTACGTGTGACCAGTCTCATTTGCATAATACATGACTCTTCCTGCATGTCCAACAAGATTTGCTACAGCCTTCCAGAATCCATGAGTTTGTGAAGTACTTCAGACACTCAGGGGGATGGGGACACAAAACCAAACTTACAGTCACTATAGGAGCAATTATTTTTATTACTTAAGTTCCTAAAAGACTCAAGTGTTGATTGGTAATTCTAAGAAAACTAGTTAACACCAGTTTGAAGATTAAGCTTTCAGGGAGGCCAGAGTTCTACCTGTGACAAAGTCTAGAAAGTTACCACTTGAATTAAGTAAATGAGTTTTTGTTTTGTTTCCAGCAGTTAATTTCTGAAAAAAAACTAGAAGGAAGTTTTGGGGAATATAAGTAAGTATTTTCTTGAGATTATTCAGTGCACCTCAAGCAAGAGACCATCTTTTGAAGTAAGATATACAATCACACTGTCCATGTGATTAGGAAAGATGTGTAGAAAATAAACCATTCCTACTTTACTTGCTTTGCCTAATAATACACAAAACAACGGCTGCATTAAGCTTGCAGCAGCAACTACCCATAAAGTTGGAGTGCAGTACAGCTATTTGTTATGATGGGTTTGCATGACATACTTGAGAAAGCAAGTTTCTGGATTCTGCTACAACAGATTTAAAATAAGCCTCATCTCAGAGGGACCAGCAGAACAAAAATAACGTTTCCCGAACAGCACCAAATCACCACATACACTACATGTGCACAAACCCATCCCTGGGACAGGAGGTGGTGGCAGCCGTTTTCTTCAGGCTTCTCAGTGTAGCCCTACCTAGAGATATTTTTAGTGCCATAACATATATATCATCTATATTTCTAAGACAAGAAACAAGTTTACAGGTGCTGTCTTCAACTTGCACTACACTGTATCACTAAAGAAAATAGCAACAGCCAGCAAAATCCAAGAGCTCACATCATACCTGTAATGACTGATTTGGTGGTAGCTCCCTGAACCGCCATGGTCTGCATGGGACCAGAATTCTGGTACATCGCTTTGGAAGTACGAGAGATAGCCCCAAATCTGGACACAGTTGGTCGGTCTCCAAACGGAATGAGGTCATCATCACCAGTCTCTGCTCCTCTTCTCTGCATGTCTAATCGCTGGTCACGCATGGCTTTACTATCTACATTCTAGACAAGGTATGGAAAAGACTGTCAAAAACTTATTCAGAAATTAACAAAACCACACTCCTTTCACAAGCTGGTACCAGTACAATATGTCTCTCTTGTATTCTCTATTTCCTTCATCCTTCAAGCAGTCTTCCTGTTCTTTAGTTTATAACTCCATTGTTGGAGTGATGTCTCTAATGGTCTAACTTAAGATGACCATTACTACCACTGTGAAATAGTTGCATTATTAATTGCAAACAAATCCAAGGGAAGGGAGCAGTAGCAAAAGGAAATTAAGACAGAGTTAAGTCTAATGGGACAGAAGGGAAAAAAACCAACACTCCTCCAGAATAAAGGCAGAGATGCCCCCTGATCTCCTCTCTGAGTAACACACAATCCTTCCAAAGTCCAAAAGAAATTCCTTTGAAGCCCAGTGGCAAGAACCATATCATCCAACAGTCTGCAGATGACTCACAATGGGAATCATTCAGTACAGCGCTTACTTGGACATGTCTAGTACATCTTTTCAGGCACATTTTTCACTAAGAAGTAGTACTGCTTGGGACATCCTGGTTTCTAACTCAGCTTCAGGCTAACACTTTAATGGGTCAGCAAACGAACAGATAACGTTCTTTCTCTACTCAAAGAGCTTTTCCAAGCGGTCATGAAGGAAAATATGTGCACAGCAAACAAGCCTGATTTAGCAGGATAAGATTTGACTTAAGTTACTTAGAAGAAGAGACAACAGGTTATCATAAAGATTTTTAACAAAGCTTTTCCTGAGATAAAATTAGGCCAGTTATGGGAGAAGTCACCTAGAGTAAGTAACTTAAAAAACAAAAGTCAATGGGTTGTTTCCATGAATAAAAATAAAATGTACCCTCTCCCGAATAATCATCACATCCAGATAAACACAAAATCATAACGAAAATAAACAGACTCAATTTAAAAAAAAAAAGGGGGAAAGCGCTTAGTTAAATAGGAAAGCTATCTGCTGGCTGCCAGAAAACGTAATACGGTAAGAACCGCCAAAATCAAGTTAAGACTTTGCTAAAGAAATAAAACTGTAGCACAGTGCTGTGTACAGCAAAAAGAACAAGGTAAGTGGGGCTACTACACAAAGAGGACTAGATAAAGGCTAAAAACTTCAGTATGGTCTAAAATTAAAATAAAACTCAGCAAGCTTAAAATGAGGATAAGTATTGCTAGAAACAGAGAAGATAACACAGCTAAGGCAGGAATAAAGGGGTGAAAATGGCAGTCACAACTGAGCTGAGAGCTAAACTCAAGAAATGTAACATGCTGAAATTGAAAGAGGCAGTAGACAGCATCTACTTTGGAATTCTGAAAAAAACAAATGACATTTTAATCTCAAGTCTGTAGGTTGCTAGTACCAAATTTCTTTCCATTTACTGAGTGGGGGGAAGGAACACAGTGAGGTTGCAATGTCATCTACATAAAAACCAGCATTATGCATGCTCAGATGATACTATTCTTATATTTGATAAAAGGAATCTTCTATGAACAACAAAAAAAGGACAAATTAAATCACTGCACCATCTGCAGTGAAGGTCTCCTGAGAATTTTTTCCTGTGAGAATGCAAGAACTAAAGAGGAGCAGAGACCCTGTTTGTTTATCTGAAAAATAGCTCTGGGGCAGAAGAACACTTTGTTTAGCAATGAAAAAAGGAGGCTGGTTCTATGACCTCTCTTAATTGAGCTGCAGTTTGTCTGCATGGTTTTCTAGCAGCAGGGATAAAAGACAAGAGCTGTTTGTTGGTTCCTGAACACTGCCACTTGGACAGCAATGTGCCAATTCTGAGTAATCTCAGGACTTCCCCAGGTCAAACGTGACAGCATTATGACTCAAGGCAAACACACAGGACAGAACAAAAGGACCTGCATAAAAAAACCAAAAAAAAACCCCAACAAACAAACCCAAAGCTGCCAATGAAATGCCTTTTCTTGCTCTGCTTTTTCTGTGAGAAAGCCTCCTTTTTGGTCCCATTTCATACAGTGGCTTTGAGGTCTTAGAGGAAAGCAATTCAGTGGACAGAAACCAGATGCATTTAATTCCAGCAAGGCAGAGGGGAAGCAGGGAAGTCTGCCTGTGGGCAAAGAGAAGCTGGACAGAAAAATCCTATAATTTAGTTAAGGGGTTGCAACAGGTGAGCACCTGTCCAGAGAAGAATAAATTCTGGATAAAAATTTCCTCCCCCTCTCTTTACTGGCCAAAGAAAGGTCACTGACAGTGACAATATATAAAAGATGGTAGAACACCTTTGCAGGTGGGAGATGAAGGGGAAAAACAATAGTCCCTCAGACTAAACAGTCCCTTCTCTTGAAGACTTGAATGTCTTCCTTCTTCATGGGCTACCAGCATACTTCTTGCTGTTGAGTGATACTTAAATGCTAGGAAGAAACAGAACAGTGGCTGCATTTCAGAATCCTCTTTCTTTACTTCTATGTTCATGACTCCTAGCAGCCCCTTCTTTTTGCAACACTGACCTAGCAAAAATGCAGCAACACAAAGTAAGATCATAGCCAGACACCCAAGAGCTTCAGCGAAGGACTGAATAAGCACAGCATAGAATTAGAAATTGCCCTCAAGAAGAATCAGCACAGTATTATGATAGGACTATGCTCTCAAAAGCTTTATGCAAGTTTTGGATATTCTTGTGGTCACAAATCACAAAGAGTCCTTCAAGTAAAAACGTAGTAACATTGTTAACAGCAGTTGCAATCACCATAAAAAGATTAACAGTACAAAGTTACAGCATCTCCCTCTGACAGAAAGTAGTACAGGATGCAACAGCTGGACATGCTCAATTAACAAGCTGCCAGTACAGAGTAATTTCTGGATTTCAAGTAAGCACAAGAATCATGGCAAAATATCTCTTGCTCTGCATGGCTTTAGAGCAGAGTGGTTAGCCTGCATCTATATCCAGAATTTTAAAACAGCTACACAGATGTAGGATTGTTCATAATTTGAAAACAAGGCACTCTACACGCTCGCAAATGCATTCTTTGACCATAGCGCAACTTTGAGCTTAAATACAAGCACTACTACCATCCTGGAAAGCAAATGAAAGAGTGCCTCCAAACCCAGAGGTATCATCTTTTCTTCTGAGTTCCCCTGCTCACTACATACCGCCATCTCCACACTCCTTGCTGCCACGTCTTTGGGTTTTACATCTTTGGTTCCAATGTAGGAGCCGATGGTATCACAGGACCAGGGAGAGTACTGGCTGTAGTCATTTCCCTTGTATTTCCCAGCTACCTTCAGGTCTTCATCCAAGTACTGTACAAAAACAAAAATCTGGTTCTGTAAGTAAAGGGAAGAAGCAGCTTCACAGCCACCATTACTTAGTTCAACAGGAGTGAACTTGAAGAAAAACACCAGCAGGATTATTTTTTTTATCGGATACATCACCATTTGGAATTGGGCCATGGCAAGCATGAAATGTGTGAAATTCTGATCACCTGGCTACACTCCCAGTGCTGACTATTCACTTGGCCAGTATGAAAGTGATATTTTGACCTTAAAAAAATAATCCTCTATCAAGCTGTAACTTAATTCTAAACACGTCAGGAGCAAATGAAGCAAAGTCCAGTAAAGTGAAGACTGACTACTTCAATTAATAACGGTTCAAAACTACTTCTCTTGATTGCACAAAAACCAGATAACTTAGGATCAGTGGTAAATCAGAGCATCAACAGCCAACTGAGAGACTGGAGACTGCACTATAAGGGCTTCCCACTTGGAACACAAAATCTACCCACACAACACTTGCCAATACTGTACTGTTCTAAATTTCTTGTCTTCACCTATCAGCACAAACTCTAAAGTATTTTCTAAACATGCTAGTAAGTCACATTTTTGTCAAAATATGCTTACCTCCTCTGAATGAAAAGGATGAGGCAAGGTTGGTGATGGAGCAAAAGGAGGTGGAGAAATCACTTTCCTCTCTTCTAGCTGGGCCATGATCTCTTTCCTTCGTCGGTGAAGTTCATCCAGGCTGGGATGAGGCTAAAATTTAAGATAGAAATGTGTTACAAAATATACGAACCATATACTGAAAAAAAAGGAAAACAGAGTGAACAGACAGTATCACCAAAATAATAAGTAATAATTACTCTGTTAAAATCTATCTATTAACTTTCATGTTCAATACAGGACATGCATCTTTCTATGCTGGCCAGAGTGCTAGTTCAAGATACCCCAAAGGCAGGGAATGTTATTTGCCTAAAACTGATTAGATTTTCAACTAACCCAGTGGTTCTAACTTTAAAACTACTAATCTTTTAACTCAGAGGTAGCTCAACATGACTCTGTGTTCCAGTTTGGCAAAGTTTCCACTGGAACATTTTCTAGCATGGCAAGTCCCCATTTCAGTCATAATGGGGGAAAGTGGTAGGACTCTAGAGATCATAACCTAGTCACAGTTAACACATTTATTATTAATTTTGCAATAGAATTAACATCCTACAAATGTCTCAAACTCAAAACTAATAAATCTACAGGCTATGTTAAAAATGCTTGCTGGACCCAGCAATGTGATTCAGAGCCTTTAATCTGAATGACAGCTACGTCAATCCAACTATTCTACAGGACTCAACTCCAGCTGCTGACTTATCAAAACAAGTTTGCACACTTCTACTAAGAAGACCCTCCAGTTAGCAATGTTAAAGTAGAGAAAATTTGAAAGAGTAGAATTTTCAATTCCTTTATCAAGGGATGTATGTTTGCATATTTATTTATTTAGGCACAGAGATGGTCAGTCACAGCTGGGCGGTATAAGAATGTACAGATGACTACTTGCACCCACTGTATTTAATCTGTGCTGGAAAGAGAGTGCTCCTCTCCAGCCTAATCTTTGGTGGAGAGGTCAGGGCCACATCAGACTTCCAAATTAGTTACAACACTTCTCTACTTTGAGCACTAAGTAGCAGCCTGCTCTTTTACATATTAACATCATTACAATTGCAGACTTGATCAGTAACTAAACTGCCTTCCAGTATTCGATCAGCTTTGGCAAATGTACCCTTTCTTAAAGTTCAAACTTCTAATTCCTCACAAAAAACATCACCTTACTGAAAAAAACAAACAAACAAACAACACAAAACCAAAAAAAACCCAAAAAAACCCCAACTAACCAACCAACCCCAACTTCAAGTAGTTTATATTTTCTCTCTCAAGCAACTACAAAAACACAACATAAAAACCATACCCTGTGGCATGAAGGTCTGATCTGACTGAGATGTGGAGCCACTGGGCAATAACCCTCTGTTTGCTGGTATCTGTCTCTGGACTCAGGTATGTAGGAAGGTACAGCTGCTTGGGGAATTTCAATGGGTACAGGGCTTCCTCGGACAATCTCCTCTCGCTGATATGGCTGGACAGGGGGATATACGCGACGGCTGTCGTAGTGCGGTGGGTAGATGGGTTGTCCCATAGGAGGGTACTGCTGTGGCGGTGTGTACTGTGGGCTCACCACCCGATCCTGAAGGTAGGGTGGGTAATGGTCTAAATAAGGTGGACCCGGCTCAGGAGCTGCCGGGGGAGGTCGGACAAAGCGAGACATGGACTGAGTGGGGTAGTAAACTCCTGAAACAAGGCAAGAGAAAAAACACAACCAAGATACAGAAAATGATTACCACATCTGTCCACAAAAGTGAATTGTTTCAAATACTCAAGTCTAAAAATATCATTAAGAGAATGGTATAATTGAATTAACATTTGTTGTTTGCCCCCACTGCCTCCCCACCAGTATTTCTACTCAGCAATTAACCACAAAAAAACCTTGAAAAAGCAGAAGTTGATCCAAAGTTCAAGTGACACAGTTTAATTATCTACATAAGATACCAGCAAGGTGTAAAGGTTACAGTAGCTGGAGAACAGGTGGTGAGACCTAGACCACCTCAGGTGCCAGAGAGGTCCTGCTAGCATACTGAACAGAAATAATTCACTAGAATGTCTCTGCAGGTTGTTAGGAATGCTTTTAGCTAGACAAGACCTAAAAAGTAAGCTGAAGATTAGCCTGTACATCTTTATCCATGCAACTAAAATTCAGTTTGTCCCAACATATCAGAGCTGCTGCCTGTGTAAAGAAACTTGGATTGATTAGAATTTAAAGTTAACTAAAGATTTGTTTTCACCCCTTGAACAGCAGAAGGAAATTTTAGTACACAGTGAATCACCAAAGACTTCTAAGACCACACCTCCCAGTCACCTGATGATTTTACTAATCTATCTGGGATCTCTGGATAATTTAAAATCATGCATGAATTTGTAAACTTCATCAACAACATGTGCATTAAATTTTGTGGACAACTCAGATCTTTATTTGCACACAGTAATCAAATACAAGTTTTTTTTCCTTCCCCCCCCTTCCTTTCTAGGGCTTTTTCTTGTTCTTTCCACTTGTTTTAGTCTTTCATTCCTTGTCTTTCATACTAGCTTCACTTTATGTCATTTCTCTCTCCAACCTTGTGTTGCATAAGAATCACTCCCTGTTTTTATGTATGGCCATTCCTTTTTTAATCCCCTTCAATATTATCTTTCTCCACTTGGTTTCTTTATACTTAGAGCTTTTCCTCTTATTTCCCTTTTTATGATGTTTTCTTTTTTGTGCCCAGCCCTTCTCTAATTTCACTTGTCTCTACCCATCACATGCATGTGCAGACATTGCTGAAACACTTTCATTAAGGACATAAGTACTTTCATCCCTCAAGCATAAGCCCCGCTGCTCGTTAAGCTTTATTTCCATTTTCCCTGAGTCAAATTGAATTCAGGTTTACCATAGTAGATCCTGATCTAGCCCAGTTGAGAAGAACTGAAGAAAGAAGGATTTGCTACACTGGATAGATACAAACCTCTGTTTTCACTTGCATTAGAGTCCTCAGCCAAGACACAGAAAGCCTGCCAATTTCCATTTTATTATGTCATCACCACATTCCTGCCTATAGTCCATGTGATATGCAAGAAAGCTACAACTGAAGAGCTTAAGTAAATACCAGAGTGGGAAGAAAGAATAAAATCAGTATGAAGATGAAAGATAGAGAGCTTGGTGTCAAATTTACCTTGTTGGTAGGGTGCTGGCTCAAATGGTGGGGCAGCTCCTCTAGGATCTTGATAAAACATATCTGCTTGCTGAGTATTATACAACTGAGACCCTCGTGGTACCATTTGCAACTGCTTGGTGACAGACACTGAAGGCAGATCTGCTGGTGCCCGAGAGGGCACTGGATGAGGGTTGACTGGTAAGGCAGGAATAGAGCTCTTGGGGACAGATTCCAGCCTACAAAATAGAAAGATGGCACTGCTCATTAAGGCCTGCTATAGCACACTGTACTTTAAAACACCGCTCTTTGTCTATATTCCACCTTCTAAAGGCTTACATCCCCTCCAATTAAAATACAAGCAAACAGGGAAGTAAAGCAGTTTAGAGTTTTAGCTTTAGTTTTCTACTATAATCTTTAATAACTTTAAAAAACCCACAAAACAAACAAAAACCTTTTTCTGTTTCTTTTCTAGAGAATGGGTTTACTTTTTTTCTACTGCATATTTACACACATGACACTTTGAACAACAGTTAGGAAAATCCGTACAAGTCAGGAGGGGATCCAGGGGCACTGCTACTCAGATGGTCCATCTTCCCTGGCTTCAGAGCAGTTTCATAACCGGAGTCAGTCCCTCGAGAAATAAGTTGCGTCACCGTGCTGCCTGTTGACACAATTCCATTTGGCAGAGCAGAGGTTTTCCTATTGGGCAAGTCCACTCCCCCTTCCTCCGAGAGGATAGCTCCTGAAGGTAGGCCCACCTCATTTAGCTGGCCCAGGGAGGCACTCAGGGGTCTTCTGGGAACCAGACGCTTGTTCATTTTGCGGAATCTTCAGGAAAAGAAACCACACATCAAAAATTGACACAAAAAAATAAAAAGACTTGCATTTTCAAGATTTGTTTCAAACACAGATGCTACTCAAAGCTTCAAGTTTTAAATCAAGTTTCCTAAAGGCTTGTGAGAATATCTGTTAGACTACAACTTCACTTTTATTTGAACTGTTAATAGCAGATTCAATCATTTTTAATTGACATAATTTTTAATTACAAGTACAGGAAGAATTCACAGCTAAACTTCACATAGCAAATTTTAAATTTTATTTCCCATACACATATGCATTTCAACTATACAGAAGAAAACCAAAACCAAATGTCACATAAAATACTACCTATAGTAACAGAAGCTTCATAGTAAGAATCACAGACTATTAAAGTCTACTTTTATTCAGAGAAGAAATTAATAGCAGAAAATTAAAGTGGCAAAAGATGAAGACTCCCTTTTGCACCATTTGACTAATAATAAACCAAGTCAAGCATTTATTGCCATGTGATATCTTTTAAAGCACAGTTTAAGATTTATGGTATTATACCAATATGCAGCTAACGTCATTTGTGTTGTTCAACAAATCAAGTTATTGCAGACATAATAGCTATGAACACACTGTAGTTCCAAAAATCAAACTGCTTCTGATAAGTCTGAACAAACATGAGCCTTTTAACTAACGTTCCAGAAAAATCAGCAGACTTATGGTACTGGACCAATGAAGAGAGCAAATTCCAGAGTTGAAGGTCCTCCACTAAACATCCTGCCATCAGCTTAGATACCAAAATGCAAGTGGGAGGAAATATTTGTAGGCCTGAGTGTTCCCACTGTTTATATTGTGGAACAAGAGGCCATTTCTTCAACAGGGTTGAACCCAACACTTTCAAATCATATCTAAAAAGCAAAGTAAGTTGGTAACACAGACTAGGAAGGTACATACATTATTGTAAGAAAAGAAAAGGGGGGGGCAGTTATAATTTGTCACTCAATCTTCAGATAATCTGTGTTTGGCCACATGCACAGCATTAACAACAATGCAACAGGCAAAAAGGGGTTTTTTGTTCTTGTGGGTTTTTGTTGTGGTTGTTTTGCTTTTTAGATGTGACTGAGTATAGTGTCAAAGTATAATCTTGCTGTATAGATCTTAGCTGTTCATCTGTAAGAGTTCATTGGCTATCTTCTAGCCACTTTCTTATCTCTCACAATTTCCTGGCCAGATTAATCTTTACTCACATAATCAAACTACAAATTCAAGCTACCTAGTGTTGACAGGCATCATTCAGAATACATTAAAAGGGAGTAAACAAACCAAGCTATCACCACAGTGGAAGCAGTTGAGCAGGGACAGACTACAGTTTTCTAAACATAGGCTGCTTGGAAGTCATTCTGGCACCTCATGTCAGCCATGCAAGTCAGCTGGACACATGGAGGCCAGCAGAAGTGAGCTCCCCAGGCTGAACTGCTGACTTCTATTTGGCATCCCCTGCAATACCCAAACCAGTTTGTCCCTGCAAAGCAGCAGCAGGACACTGGGAAACCACTGCCATATTCTTCCTTGCCAATTTCTTCTGGACATCTGCCTCCCATCAGGTCTCTCAGAGGTGCAGTGTCTGATGGCTCCTGAGTTTCTGAAGGTTTGCACACAACTTGCACGAGAAGGAGGACTGGCCACCCCTGCCTACTTATCCAGAACACAACAGTATGCTCAAGAGAGCCAGGCACACCATTCAATCAAAGGTGACAGGAAGAGTTTATATAGCACCCTCCATGAAAAAATACTTAAAGAATAAAAGTTGCAGAGCTGCTCTCTATTTTTCTGAACACGTTTATGAATCTTTGTCGCAGTCTCCGCACGTGCAGGACACAAAAATAATCTGAAGTTTAATATTTGCCTATGCACACTGTGTCTTTGTCCCTTGCCAAGAAGGGAATCAGCTGCTGTTTAAGCAAGTCTGGATCATAATTTGCTATTTAAGGTATTACCACGTATTTCCCCATAACCTTCCGGCCAATTTAAAGCTATATATAGAGATACAGGAAGTACACAGCAACAGCAATGCAAATTATTCATACTAAACACTTTTAAAAGGAGGAACACTAACGCAGTATCTACTCAAAGGAACCAAGTAAAGACAAAAGCTAAAGAATCAGAACTCAAAGTTCCCCAATCACCTACAGAAACAGCTGCTCCTTAGAACAGAACAAGCATTCACTTCACCTCACAACAACATTATTACTAAGGCGTACAAGCCAGTGTAGATAAAACAGGCCTCTTCCACCTGCAAAGCTGACCAACAGTCCTTCTTGACAGGTACTAATACTGACACACCACCCTTGTTAACCATCCAAACCAGCACTACCAGTCTCAGTTTTCTTAATACCATGACAAAAAGGGGAAAAACACCAACTGTTTCTGTGGAACACAAATATCAAAGTCCTCTGTTCATCTGAATAACTGCCTTTGTCATTCTCACACCACGTGTTCTGCTCTTTTTTCTTCCTGTTTTTCCTATGCACTGCATGCTGGCTATACAGCAAATGAACTGCCATATTAATGCTTCAAGTTTTAGATTAAGGGAGAGAAAGGAAAAAAAAGACCGCATACAATTTCCAAATCTTTGGAGTTTTCTTCTGATTAAAAAAAAGGCACCTTTTCTTTGAAAGAGGTGAATTATTTTAGCCCAAAACACAAGTAACAAGTTACATATACTGCACAAAAGAAATTTCTTTTAACTATTATATTTCTTATATTATATTA